CACCGCGCCGCTCGGGGCAGGGGAACGCGGGAGCTATGCTTCCCCTTCCCTTCTTTATTTTCCTTTTCCCCCTCCTTCCCTCCCCCCTTCCCCTCGAGGGTTCTATGTTCCTGCTCTCAGGGGCACGGAGGGAAACGCTGGATCAATTTCCAGCGCGAGCGAGGAGCCATTAGATTGCGAGAAGTGATTCCAGCATGACACAACACCGGCTAATCGGCGCGAGGGCCATAAAGGGATTTCTAATTTGATTCCCTTTGACAGTCAGCCTGCTAATTTTGACTCATTCGCCAATTGGCTGTGGGGCACTAAAAGGATGCTTGGTTTAGGGCTCGTGCTGTACTCCCGGTCCAAGTCCTCGGCATGTAACGGGGCAGCTTTCTGCTGATTTCAGTGAGCTCTGGATCTATCGTTACAGAAGTATCCTGCTTTGCATGGAGTGCTCGTTATTCTCCACACGTCATCTGAGAAGAGAAAAAGCGTCCTCCTTTGCTGTAACTGGGGCACAAAGAAAGTCTAGGTTTGCGCGGCAATAAAAGGCCAATCATTTCCCAGTTCCCTTTGGGTATCTTACAGAAACGCTGAACATCCTTGCTTGCTTAAAACGGGCAAATTAAGGCGAGATTTAAGATCGAAGGCTTAAATGTGAGGGTTTAGGCAAGGGTTAAAAGAGAACGCGACGAGGACAGTTCCCCAAACCAGCTGGGGGAATAGAAATATGTCAATATTTTAAAATTTTTATTTCTGTTTCAGGATCCGTTGCAAAATGTGAAAATGAAGGAGAAATTCTGCAGATACCGTTTATCACAGACAACCCTTGTATAATGTGTGTTTGCCTGGTAAGTTTGGATTTCAGCTAATCAGAACATTCAGGCCTGTACTAAGAGTAACTGCACTGAGAAGGGGAATATTTCACATAATCAAATCTTGGGTACCTCTGTCGCCTTTGTGTAACACAAGGTTATCTCAGAGCTGAGCTAATGGAAAGTAATCCAATCCATGACCTGGCAATCATCTATTTGACTTTAAAATTCTCGGACACAAAGTTGTACCTGACTTTAACATGACATTGTGAAACCGTGCTTACCATGCGAATTTGGAGGGACAACTGTTTTCACAAAGTCAGGGTGCACCCAAACGCCTTTGCGTGTTGCTCAGCAAAGAGGGTTAAGGGTAAGGTTCGGAAACGCTGCTGCTTTGAGCTCCTACGTGCTTAGTTTCCCAGGCCAGCGGCTGAGGAGCTGCACAAGGGTGCAAGGTGAAGGCTGCAATGTGACTGCACACGCCGTAATAAGACGACAGTGAAATCACAAGTGATGCTTTCATCAGAGCGCTGTGCTCCAAGGATGACGCTGCCTGTTGTGCTGGGAATTCCCTGGTTAATAATGTCGCTAGCTGATACGCATTTTGGGGAGAAACATTCCCTCTCCTCGGGAAGGAAGGGAACTTCAGAGTTAAGCATTTTGCGAGCAATTCAGCTAGGCAAGCCAAGGCTTAGGAGATACTGAAAAACCGTACGATAAATCTTTGTACAATATATTTAAAAGAAAGCCATAAACCTTAATTTGCTGTTGAATGCAAAGAAAAGTATAGACCAGAAAGCACTATGTTTTACATTTTGGAAGTCATAGAGTATCTGAATGTATATATATACAGAATGTGTTCTTCTTTAGGACCGAAATATCAAGACACACTCTCCCCCCCCTTCTATTACTGATATTAATATTAATAGCATTAGGCAGCATTATTATAACCCTGTAAAAGACTTAAAGAATTGTTTCAGACTGCCTTTTAGAAGGCAATTCTGGCAACTGTAGGAACCTGATCTTGAGCCCCATGAGGTTGATGTATATCGCTGCACTGAGTTCAACAGATTTTAAATTAGACTCAGTGATAACTTTTTAGCTAATAGTGATAAAGAATAAGGTATTGATTCTTCTGAGTAGAAGGGGGGTAGGAAAAGGAGGAGCATGGGATGTGGTGAGTAAAGAAATCAAAGGGAAAACAAAAAAAAGACATGAAGCTGTGTTTTATCATGGATCACCTTCCCAAATATGTCTGCCACCACTCTTGCTAATGGAAGCTGGTGTTAACCAGTGAGGAAGCAATTTATCTGTGAAGGAGCAGAAGTTCAGTCTTGGGCATCAGGGCAATAATGCATCAGGGTAAAATACTTGTATTTATAGATCTCTCTAGACCTTGGCTTTATTAAATCAATGAGCACCCTTTTAGTGCATGAACATGAAGAACTGCAAAAAAACACTGGATGTAAGAACTCTAAATCTTTGCGGTTTGTAGGGCATACTTAGTGAAATGGCAACTGAGGGTATTTGGCTCCCTTCTATGCAAGGAGGACACTACGTTTTAGTAAGAATACGGGTGCCTGGTGCGTTACCGCAGTTACCTGCACCGGATACACTGTGTTTTATTTCTGCCAGAGGATAAATGTGAGCTCTGTTTCTTCAGTTGGAAGCTAGGAGACCTGGTAGAGGAAAAGGAAACCAGTCTGGAGATACTGTCTTTAACGCTGTGCGGCATCCAAAGCGATGCCTTATTGGCCAGCCAGTTGCTGAAATCGCTGTTCAGGCCTGCCACAAGGGAAAAGATCAATTTTAAGAGGCGTGGAGAGAGCAGAAACAAAAGAAGCGATGTGGTGATTTGTGACCAGGAGGGAAGAGAGAACCAGGTTTCCTTACGTCCAGCCAGAAATATTGATTGTTTAACAGCAATTCAGTGAGGAACTCTTTCTGGAAGTCTGATCACGCTCCTCAAGGGCAAGCCCAATGGATGTTCATATCATAAGAAATGAGCAACTAGGAAGAGAGCTTAATCAGGAAGGAAAGAAGCAATTGCTGTCCAGGAGAGGACAGAAAATACAACAGAAAGCATTTGTGTTAAAAACACAGGTGTTCCCTAGTGGTGATACATTTCCATGACTGCAAGCCACCATAAATAACTGCACAAGTTAAGGAAATGTGAATGGCTCTGGGAAGTGGAGGAATATCTAAATAACTCCCTTCCAGGACTTTCCCATCTCACAAATGAGAGGAGACAGAATGGAAATGCTGGAACTGAATCATCAGATGTTTGACAGAACTGAGTCTGCAGGTTGTGTCCTGCAGAGCCCAGGGATGCATCCTAGCAAGGCAGAGAGAGGAAGGCAGCATAAGCAAAGCAGTCTCCAGCTTTCTCTTGACAGGCTGTGTAGTTGGGAGGGCAAAGCAAGGGGTAGTACTCTAAAAGCAAACGTGGCAAAAACTGGAAACTCAGAGGTTATGAGTAAGTTGCAATAATGCAACAAAGGCTGCAAAGAGCAATTACAAATGCATTTCCTTAAACAGCACTGAGAAGTCTTGGTAAGAAGACCAAAATCAAAAGTTGTCTTTTCTCATTGATTAGAGGAGACAAAGTGGACTGATTTCCATGATATGAACATGAACAAGGACAAGGCAGGTAAAGCAGCCACTGGCTTCTGGGGGTGCTGCTTTAATAAAGCTTCTAGCTCTTGTCTTAGAGTTATTGGTGGTAACACAAAACCCTGAATCTTGAGTACAAATGGTACACTGGTTAGGACCTCCTAGAGACAGCCAAGTCTAGCTACCAACAAGGCGAGTTCATTCTTAAGCATCTGCTGTAACATGTGGAAAGAGGAGTCATGGTGATACAGGAATTCAGACTAGGGGACAGGTGCTGGAGATTTCATATATAGTACATAGTGAATAATTCACTTCTAAGGTACAGGGAATGCCTTTCTCATAAAAAGGCACCACACCCACCATGAGGTAACTCTGTTCTGGACTTCCCTACTTGTTGAAATGAAATGTGGTGGAGTGCATGGAACAGCACTGATGCTTACCCTTAATATGCAGAAACAGGTAAGACTAAGAGTGTATATGTGTGTGTCTAAATGTACTCTGTAGCTCTGCATGCAAGAACACCAGCTGAACATGCCATTATGGCTAAAATCTGGAGTTCTCTAACTTGTAATTTGTACGTCACTACTTTGTAGTCTTAATAATGCCCATAAAGATGGTAATTTTTAACATCTGTAAGACAGTAGTTTCAATGTGAACTTTTACAATTACAACACTTTAGCAGTAGTATATTGCTGTCCGACTAATCATCTCTAAGCACTTAATAAACATGGATTAATTTGATCTCCAAAGAGCTGGTCATTAATTACAGCTGACTGCAAGAAGTGACCATTTTTATTTTTTTTAAGAGAAAAACATCAAAGTCAGAGAAAGGTTGTGGTTTATCCTCAAGGAATTTCTGGTAGGACTGTGATGACAGCTCAGGTCTCCTAAGTCCTGGTCTAATGGTTTGACTACAAAGCCATCCCTTCTCACTTCACGCACTTTCACTTCACAAGTGGATGTGAGTGGTATAGTCACAGTATGAACACACTAATTTTCTTTTTTGCCTCTGACAGTGGGCAGGCTGCACAGATGCCAGGTTTTTAGTGTGTCTGCTCCCCCGAGCTCGTTTTGAGGCACGGGTGGGAAAAGGCAAATTCAAGCTGACTTCATAATCCAGAAGTTTTGAGAAGAACTGTGATTTATGACTTGCTGTTGCTGTCTGCACTGGAAAATTGTTGTTCTGAAGCTAGGTCAGATAAAAAGTGCAGGTAGGCCTATCTGTGAAGTGCCAGTGTAGTATGCCGTGGTTGACTGGCCCATCACAACCATGCAAGCTATAAAGCTTTAGCTGTATGGCTTTAGCTATAAAGACTTCTCTGGTGCAAGGGATGGAAAACACTCTCAGCTCAGCAAGCTCTGTATCGGAGGAAGGTGAGCAACTGCAAGGAGATGCTAGATGTGATGGGCAGTAACAAGGACTAAGTAAACCAACTCTGTGAAGAAAAAATATTGTCAAAAAAGGGAAGCTCTTATTTCAGGTAATGATGTGGCCCTCGGCAGTACAAAAAAAGATGTTAGAGAACATATAGTTGTGAAAATATTTTATGCTTAGTGGTCAATGGTAAGAAAATCTCATGTCCTGCTGTTTTCTGAAAATCAAAGTAGTGAAACTATGGGTAATGAAGTTGACTGAAAAAAAGTTTGGGTTTTAAAGACCTTGTCTGAACTGGCATAATGATGATAGGTAAAAATATATAATCTTGATGGTATTCGGAATGGGATTATATTGATTCAGTTTGAGAAATGGATTCTTTTATCCCAGTTATTAAATGCTTTAAGTCCGCAAGCAATCATAACTACACTACCTAATGCAAAAATTTTCTTCTAAAAATATCCCCACACATGTGTGGAAAAAGGAGTTTATTTTACTCCACAGGAGCATTTCACACACCTTGTGCAGTTTGAGGAACCCAAACATGTCACGTATGACAGAATCCGATCTTTGTATTTCAGATGTAAAAGTTTTAGGCTGAGGGTAGTGGAGGCGTAGGTGAATTTCTGTTAGTGGAAACAGAACTTCATAAATGTGAAAACTTACCACGTTTTGGTACATTTTGGACTTTTTTAGTGCAGATATATAGTGAGGATTTTGAAATGTTAGGGGGAAAATGCTATTAACAGAATATTGGGAGAACTTTTGGTTAGATTTCTTTTATATGGGTGTCAGCGTATAAAATAGGCATGGAATATTTAAGTTCAACTCTGGTACAAGAACGGTAAATGATCAAGTGCAGCAAGAGTTTTTGTTGGTACAGCTTTTTGGCTGGAAGGTATCTAAAACTCAAAATAGCAGTAGGCTCACACCTGATGTTATGGCATTTGCTTTCAAGAAGTATATACTTCAACATACGCGTGGAAAAGACATAAAAACGCTACAGTCCGTCAGAAATAGGTGAAATGAGAACCTGTGCATAATTATA